GGTGGGATGGGTGGGTAACAGGACCCCCGTTGATACCAGTGTTTACTACACTGAAGGGGCTATCCTGTATAAATATAGATATAGATGTCTACTAACTTTGCAGCAAGAATTTTCCTCGGCCTGAAGAAATACGATCACCTCTCTGAAGAACTAAAATCATAAGGATGGCTCTACGACAACTATAAACTCAAATTTAATATCTGTGTCATGATGCATAAATGCCTCAAAGAAGACACTCGTGCGTATCTATCACAGAGGTTCAGGAAACGCTCTCAGATCCATAGCCGAATTACAAGAACCCGTAACGACTTCGACTTGATCAAATGTCGCCTCGCCACAGGGCAACGATCCTTCGGCTTTCATAAAGCCAATGCATGGAACGAACTTCCAAAATCTACTAGAGACGCTACCTCGTTGAATAATGTTAGAAAGAATTTAATCAAACTGTTTAAGGAATTTTAAGATTCCATCCTTCCAATTGTATATAAATTTGTAGCTTTTATTATTATATTCTAGTTTTATGTCCCTGTTGATACTATTGTAAGTAATTAATTTATGACTACTTTCTACATTGAGGCTGAAATTGGGAAAATTACTCAGTCTAATTAGTCCAGCCTCCCACTGGTCTGAGTCCACTTGCTATTCAAAGATGTTTACTCATAGTGTTTGCATTGGCTCTTCTCTTCCCTTTTTATCTCTGCTGGAGATACTTTCCTCGCGTGAGAAATGAGAGGTTATGCCATTCAGTGTTGCAGAAGAGCCGGGCTGCAAAGCTCTAGCCGGGGAAAGATGAGAGAAGTCAGTAATGCCCTCATGCAAATTTGTGGAAGCAGGCCACTCTACATATAGACTAATAGTCTTTTTTTTCTTCTTCATTAATTGTTATCGTCCGTGGGTGTTAGCTCTGGCGAAAAAAACAGTGCATGCCTGATATGCATGGTAATAATGGTTTTATCAAACGAGTTGATACTGTAAATTGACCACCTCAAAGAGTTTCAAAGCTGACGTTTCGAGCGTTTTGTTTGGAAATGGCAGTCCAGGTAACTGTGGAAGCAGTGATGGCTGGCAAGAAAAAGCATATTTTTCCCGACATAATATTTACTTTTCTTTCTTTCTGAGGACTTGGGAACTCTGAAGTAAAATTCCATCAAGCAGTCAACTTAAGAAAACATAGGTGAAAAATATGAATTTGAATTGTCTGATCGGTAGCCTAATCACGAATTATAATTTCTATTTTCTATTTTTTATGACGTCTAGTTGGATTTGATAACCCTCAACCATTAGGACCTCGTTAAAGTTAACGTTGCACAAAGTGTGTGTATGGTCAATTTAATGATAAAGTTTAAAAGTCCCAATAAATAATGTGAAACTGACGCGGGAATTTCTTTGTGATCTCAACATCTTCAACGTTTTTCATACTGCAAACATAAATTATCTCTCCTGCATAAATATAAAATACACTTGACCTATGTACAACATTTACAAAATATTTACACTAAATAACTTTAGATATACATCATTTTAAAGCTCGCCTATTTCTCCTGTTTAGAAATTATTACGTGTAACACAGATAATCTACCGCGCGCGATGAGCTCAATAGCCTCTCTTTCTGCCAATAGTGCTGGATCCATTCGCGCCAAATCTCAATATAGATCAAAGCTATCTAGTCGGGAAAACAACCTGATGGAAATTCGTCCATTCCCAAGTCCAGCTGTATTTTCTGGCTTAGATCTCAGAGCGAAAGTAAAATTTACCTTACAAAAAGAAAAGGCCTCTAGTTTAGATGGATACACAGATGGCAGGAAAGCGAACGAAATAAAACATTCTCCGAGAGGTTCTTTGTATTTCCTTAAGCGATTGTCACTGAACTCGTTTGTAGATGGTGGAGTGTTTTCGTGATCCACGGCAGGTATTTCTAAGACGTCTCAGTGCTCTCCCTGGGCAGCAGAGGGGAGGCAAAGTATCCCGATCGACAGAGATTTTTCAGAAACACTTTGTTCACCTCTGGTTAGTATCATCTCTTGTGACCTTGAACAATATGTGGAAATCGGGACACTACCGGTTCCTGATGGCGAAAAAACAGGGTTCATTCTTGACCCTACATATATATATATATATACATATATAGACATATATCTTATTAACCAAGAGCGAGGGCCGTACTGGGAGATTATCGGCCCAAGGTCTTGACAAAAAAGACCGAGGGCCGATATTCTTCCAGTACGGTCCCGAGCAAGCTTGGTTAATAAGAGATTTATTATACGACTGAAGTTCAAAGGGACACAAGAGCGGTATCATTCGGGACCATTCGGGACAGTGCCCGGTCCAATACTTAGAGAATATTGACCGGCAATAGAGCATTTTGATTGGTTGAATTTAGTTATTGGCCCTCTGACTGCCCGAGTCGTGTAATAAATAGGGAAGATTACGCGGCTAGCAGCTTGGCATTCCCCCTTAATTTTTGGCGTTTCTGAAAATATTCTTAGAATCACTTTTTTTTAGTGATCTGGTGACTCATTTTGAACGATCAAAACATTGATTCTCTGTACCGTACCTCTTTTTTACTTTTTGAATATTTTATGGTCAGATTTTCGTGCTGTAAGAAAGAAGGTTATGGAAACCATGAAAAACCGACTTAAACAACTGATCACACGACTTACCCGAGTTGAAGAAGATGATCTGTAGGCAAAGGTTGACTTATTTCCATGTCCCTGTTGGTTAGAGGAAAGAACCACTCGCTTATATTTCAAAAAGCAGAAAGAGGTCAGCTAAGAATAATCAATGAATAAAGCGATGGATAAAGCGGGCATGGAATGTCAACTCATCGAATTGCTCCCAAATTGTCCCTTAAATAAATTTTTTTTTCCTTCTTAAATACCTTTAAATGAAAGAAAGGAAGAGGTCAAAAAGTACCTTTTGGTTTTGTGTCTGATTCGTGAGCCATGATGATTGCATGTTGATCGCTGGTGTCTTCAGTCTCTCCGGTGTTTCAATCTATAATAATAATTAATATAATAGTAATAATTTTTTCGAATTAGTAACGTCTCCACAACCGATCAAAGATGATTCAGTTCAAACCTTTTCCCACTGCCCTTAGAACGACAGACAGACAACTATGCAGTAGGTCAGTCAGGAAAACAGAGAGACGCTTACTATCGGTCAGACAACTGTCAGACTCACTAAAATTGATTGAATACCCAGCGAGGGGATGGGTTTGAGCGACTGATTAACTGTCGGTGATCAGAGTAACAAACACAAACTGACGACCTGACAAAGCGGGTGCCTGAACGACTAACCAACTAAATACTCCGCTGACTTTCAAAACTGAATAACTCTGCTGGTCGCAAAATGGCCTCAGTTGGTAGCTGATCAAAAGCAAATCTAGGCTGTAGCCCGGATTTGATTCTTTGACCTGGCGACACAGGTACACGTAGATGGGGTCCGCTGATGATTCACATCCAAGCTCCAACTGATATTCTCTGGGTTTTCCGGGTTTCCTCTCTCTCCACAAAAACCATTTCTTCAATTCGACATCGAATCAGTGGGTAAGCCTTCACTAAATTCTAGTAGTTATTTATCCCTAATTGCTACGCAGCGAGCGTAGCGTGCGAGCTGCAACATAATCAGGATTTAAGAAGATATATGAAGGGAGGCTGAATTCTCTAATCCATCACTTTTTACCAGAATGCATTGCATTCAACCAGAGAGCACTGCGCCGCTTTGTACAAGGGTGCCTTTGAGGTCTGTACTTAAAAACGGTACTTCGTTGCATAGTAGTAGCATGATTCTCAATACGGCTGGGAATGCCGCAGATTTTGACTGGACATTTTGCAAAAGTCAGGCCGTTTCTTTTTTCTTTCACTGTGGGTAAATGTTATTTGACATATTCTGAATGTGTAGAAGTATTTTTTTAACGTAGTTTTTACGTGTTCTTTCGTTTTCAATGACAAACGCAAGCTTGGTTTTTTGGTAAGTAATTTGAGACTGGTGTTCGAGAACCCAAATTTGTTGTACATCGTATTTTGAAACCTTCCAAAGATTTGGATGACCACTTTGATCCTTAAACAGCTGAACAAACGCTCCTCAACGCTTCCCAACGGTACGCATGTTTTATGCATTTAAGTGACTGTTACGCTTAGTGTATTGCGTTACCACTGTAAGGGTATTTTCTTTATGTACTCAATCGTGTTTTAGATCTACATTCCTAACTAAAGGCAAATTAACTAACGGCGAGTATTGTATTAACTAGTCGCGAGTCTCGATTACTGAAAGGACGACAGTTGATCAATGAATAACTCTACCTTACGTGAAGTGACACGGTAAGCCGGAAAAGCAAACGGCAGTCGACCGTTAAGAGGTGTTGAAGGGCTGTGCGACTCTTGCCATTCGCTGGCGCTTAAATTTTAGCTCTAATTGGGATATCTCAAAAGGACTTTCCTCTGCGATGTGACAATAAGGGAACGTTTTGAGATATCATTTGTCCATCTGTATGTTCTTTAGGTTTGGCAAAGCCGGATGAGATTGTTTTAAAAAGACTATATTTTCTTCTGTGCGCGCTCTAGTTTCTCTCCCACAGAAAACAACTCAAGAGGCACGTTTCTCGAAGCTTCCATCTAGGTATCCTTATTAATTACGACCCCCCCTCCGCCAAAAACAAAAATTCCAATTTTTCACGGTATATAGTTAATAAACTAATTAATCTCGCAATCCAGTGCTTTGACAGAATATCATTCGAGGTGAGAAGGGTGCTCTTAAATCTTGAAACACCACACGATTTCACTACATTGTACTTTAAGAAATAAAGGTTAATGCAAGTCTTGGAACGCACAGGTAGATGAATCACTGCGTAAACTATGTCACTATCAACAGAATGTGCTTCGGCATTACTATCGTTCAGATACACTTGTAGGCTATAATTAATCATCACATTGTTCACCCTGTAAACCGGAAGTGCCTGTATAATGCTCCAGTAAACTATGTCACTATCAACAGAATGTGCTTCAGCATTACTATCGTTCAGATACTCCAGCAGGCTATGATTAATCATCACATTGTTCACCTTGTAAACCGGAAGTGCCCTGTACACTGCTCCAGTGTCCGGTGATCCTGACCTCGTACTCTCTAAGTGAGAGTTGTAATGCTAAGATAACAAAACAAACAACAAATGTTCTTAAGGTAAAAATGGGACCTTTGCTACTATACAAACCACTGTTCCAAAAATAAAACGTTACACTATTGAGAATACAGGAGAGGGAACACACTCTTCAAGTTCTCTTGTGTTATGTTCATAATTATGTAAAACATTCTTACGAGTAGACAAGACGAGCATGCAATTTAAAAATGGGTATTGTAGAGAGGTTATGTGAAAATAGTTTGGACGGTCTAAAATGTTACCTTTACCTTTGGTTTTGACAGAGAATCAAAGAATTTCTTATTGTCTCCGGTTGGTTTAGTCTCCTTTTGAGCTGAATGACGAAACGGTAACCATCTATGGACGAAAATAAAAAGAATAAAAAGAAATCAAATTTACAAAATTAGGAGATGTGGTTACTGCTAACCTATATTATAACCACTTCAGTTAAGCCTAAACCAACTTGCCCTAAAGCTTACGTTCATAATATGGTCGCCTTCTCGACATTGATGGCGAGAGGTTGGTTGGATTAAAGGACTTCCACAACTACACGAGAGCGTTTGCTCTCATCCACACAGCTTCCTCTCCCTCAGAGGGGGGGAGGGGGGAAGCGACTTCTGAGCAGGATATTAATCTGCAGACAGTGAGGGTTTCTCTCACTACAGAAGTTTATCTCGTTGTTTGCTTTATCTTTTGTATTTGACTGTTGCAATGATTGCCGCATAAAATACCCTGAGCGTAGTTAGCGTTCTCTGCGGCATATAGTAAAGGTGGAGGAACACACCCGAGTGTGGACTCGAGTAACACAAGCATTTAGCTTATCAGGTTAACAGTCAGGCCCAAGCTGTTCGAGAATGCTATACACTGAATAAATCTTTCTCTGGTAGATAGCACAGTTGGAACACCTGGTCCCAGACCTATCCGTGGTCATCAATCAGATGGTTATATCGTCCCACACAAAAACAGTGAATTTATTTCAAAACACGTACACAGCGAGGAAGACCGTTGCGTTAAAACTAAAGAAAAATGCTCAAATGGCGAGCAGTGAACGGAACTAGCTCTCCAAGTTCACCGTTATGACTATGCGCAGAATCACGGCGGTTCCCGCTTGGTGTGGCTAGCTGAGCTGTTTTCGCGTCAAGTCCAATGCTATAAAAACAGTGAAATGATGTGGTACCTTGTGTCATCGAACATCAACGGGCAGTCCACAGTACTGTCTGCTGGCTTGGTAACGGTTTTGGTGGCTACGTTTTTTAATGTTTTTATCGGACCCTGTAATGAAATGACATGATGCATCAGGAACTCGTTTCCCACTGTCTTGTTCTACAAGGAAGAGTTTCTTTTAAGACAGAAGCACAGATAACACATAAGCAAGCTTATTTTAAGTAGTTACGGGGTTCTTCATAATTGGATCATAGAGTTGGCGGTCAGATCAGATCAGTTCAGGTGATCCGTTTTCCTTTTAGCAGAAGTAATTAATAAACCGATTGATTTAGCAATCACAACCCGACGCAAGCTGTTTGCGACCCACAGCAAATAATATCACAGTATAACCAACCAATACGTTTACACACAAACCGCATACTTCTTCAAAAACTCTTAAACTAACTATAGACTTCCGCTCAGGTTGCCGTAACGCCACTCAAAGTCTGTTACCGGTAACCGTCTTTTTAGGTGTCTCACCTAAACGATCAGACAACGCATATGAAGCAAAGAGAAAAGATTCTCGCAGGTGAGCTGAAATTTTCATCCGCAGGTCATATGAGATTTATTTCATTAAGACTGTGATCAGATGCCATTACGGAAAAGAGGAACCTTCAAAAACTTGGCTCCCTAACTCAGTTGATGGTAGTGCCCAACTAGTATCTGGAAGGTGCGGGCAGCGCTCGATACTAACGGTAGCCAACTAACCACAAACCAGTAGAAATTCAGTTTTGGCCTGTGGTTTTCGATTTCCACAAGCCAGTTTGGCTAGTAAACAAACCGAAATTGTTGTAACATCTAAGTTGTAACGTGCCTCTTGGCTAGTAGGTTGAAAAGTTAGTGTCGAGCCCTGAAGTCACGTAATTGTGAAAGGAAAAAAATATTATGTGATTTGGTTAAAAGTTTGTAGCAGAGCGAGGTTTTGATCCTCGGACCTCTGGGTTATGGGCCCAGCACGCTTCCACTGCGCCACTCTGCTGCACTCACTAACGAATGGAAATTCTTATTATTTATTACAAAGTTGTGATGAAAGATATCGTGATGTTACATCATCCCCTTTTTGCATATTTCACGCTGTAATGTAATTATCTACGTATGATGCACGATCCTCGCAGTAGAGAGCGCTATTTATGCAATAGCGAAAATCAGACCTGAAAAAAATCAGGCGTGTACGGGATTCGAACCACTGACGTCTGCGATACTATTGCAGCGCTCTACCAATTGAGCTAACAAGCCAACTGGCAGCAGGCCGTTAAGTTGATTCGTAATAAACCCGTGATGATAAATCAGATATGATGAATATACTTCTTTGGGAGTGAAAGAGTCAAAAAGAAAAAAATAATTCGCGTAGCGGAATTAACGCTTGTTAAGTTTACCACTGTGGTTTGCTGTGGACGCGTTTAATTTGTCGAGAAAGGCCAGAAGCATGCATTTGTTTTTGTCCTAAAATGTTTCTCTATCTGCAGATACTATAAGGCAGTCGTGCTTTATCACAAGGTATAGTTTGTCTTTAAAAATGTTGCCTCTCAGGGCTCGACACTGACGGCAGCCAACTAGCCAGACTAGTTAAAGTTCAGTTTTGGCTTGTGGTTTTCGATTTCCTCTAGCCAGTTCGGCTAGTAAAGATAGATGGATAGATAGATAATCTTTAATTATCCACGGACAATTCATTTCAGCTATAAATAATAAAACATTTAAAATATAACAGTATCAACGTGCATAAAATGGATAAGATACTATTATAAAAACTATACTTAAAGCCTAAACCTAACTAAAACTGCTTTCCACGAATGCCGTGCCACAACGTACTTCTTTAATTAAACGCTTAAATAACCGAAGGGACTCTGCTTGTCTTATATCACGAGGAAGACTGTTCTTAAGGGTGGCGCCACTATAGCTAAAGCTATTCTTATAATAGTCTGTGCGCGGC